ATATAGCGGAGACAACCAAAAGGATACGGCACATACGAAGGGCGGGATGGGTAACATACGGTCCTGGCTGAGGATCGTTTATGCCGGGACGAAAGGACATCAGGGGCGGAAAGATTATCCCTCACGTTATAGCAACTGTCATTTATGAGCAGAAACTTGCCACCATCTTCGGGGAGTTAACGGGAATCTGGACAAGATAGAAGAGGAAAGTATTTGTTGTATAAATAACTAGAGTAGTAAGGATGACACCGACCGCGAGGATTGGGTTTGGTAACGAGATGACGGACCGAATTTCGATGACCAAACGAACGGCCTTAGAAGCGATCCCTTCCGATTTTAAGCGATAGGCATGGGAAGAAAGCCCGGGTGGAATCGCATGAGAAGAATCGCATGACGGGCAAGCCGCCCAGCAATTTGGAGTACCGAAGGTTGTCTTGGCACAACCGGCGCCGAACACGACGACAAGCTGGCAAAACCTCGGCCATCCGAGCTTTTCCCTGCGACGGTTGAAAAGATGCACTCGTAAGACGGGAGGCGATATGTTCCGATGGATACCGGAAGCTTAAATCCAAAAGGTATAGCTTTCGAGCGTTCGATTCCGAGAGAGTTGATTCGGTATGCCAGTCCAGGTCAATTCACGATTGCGGATTGGGAAAACCAGCCGGGATGCCGGTTTTCCTCAGTTTTGAGACTATATTTACCTCGCTGACCTTGGCTGAGGGCGTGGGACATCCAGAAAGAACTCCATCCTTCTTTCATTTGGGGAAAACTATCAAATACGCAAGAATCAGCGGGTTTGTGGCTCTGGTAAAATGCCTCAGTGCCCAGAAAGCCTACGACCACTGCCTAACTGGAATTTGTACCTGATCCGTGCCCTGATCGGAGCCCGCTGTTCTATTTTGCTGGACTCTCCCAGGCAAGCCATTTCTCGAGGCCGTGGTACCAGCAAAAGAACCCACCTTGTGTTGTAGTGTGTCCCGCACCTAAACACAGGGACGCTCGGGAGGATCAGAGAAATAGTATTGGGGCTGGTTTGAAAGAGGTGTCGTACACGGAGCGCCGTTGTTGAAGCCTGCCGATCACGCCAGGTGTAAAGCGACCTCATGCGCGTCGAACCTTGAATAGGGATTATTACACCACTGTCTAAATGATTGGCATGGGGCCGCGGCTCGATGATGGGAAGAGCCAGGCGGGACCCACGGTCAATTTCATATTGTCCTAGAAAATTGTTTTATTTGGAGAGTTCCATGAGAGTTTGATTGGTACCGAGAGTGCAAAGACGATGTTATCGCCTGCAAGAAGTAGAATCGCCAAGACCACCGCAGTTTTTAGACTCGCGTGAGCGCAGAAATCTGCGCAGGCTGGGAGAATATCACGGCCCTCCTGAATATGCATCAGGTATCCTCCGTTCATTCGTTTGTCAGCCGTTCGGAAGGAAGACGGGCGTGGGATCGAATTCGTGTGCATACAAGCAGAAGAATCCTGTGCCGAAAGGCGAACGCATTACCGAGGTCTATTGAGTCAGAAATCCACATTGACTGCAAATCCACGTTGCTTCCAGCAAATTGAATTGCTAGTCGATAGTGGGGACATAAATGTTGTCCCAAAGAGGTAAAGACGACGGTTATCAGCAGCAGTATTACCATGTGTTGGAAGTCGTGCCAGGTCCTAGGAAGGTTTGTTCGACACCGGCAAACGACGGTTTATCACAGACCCGGGAGAGCGTAATTCAAAACGTACAGTTTGGTGTTTCTTGGTCGCGAGCAGCTGGTCTTCCCAACACAGGATGGATCAAAAGTCTTGCTCACAAGGTTATGCGCGGAAGACATTACTGAGCAACCCATGACGTCGAGGAATGTCTTCGGTCTATGGACGGCAGTGAATGGAAACCAAGGTCGCGGTCCTCGGAACACGACTTACTTGTGTGAAGAAAATGCTCTTTCCCGCTCGCGTGAAAAATCACAATGTCAGGCGAACCAATGTCGAGTCAGAATTCCTTACCAACTGTCACGAATCCAGTAAATTGAATTGCTAGTCGACGGTGCAACATCGCGGTTTCATTGTCTCAAAGAGGTAAAAGCGACGGTTATCACTATGTGTTGGAAGTTGTGGCTGGGTCCTAGTTTATTCCGAAACTGGAAAAAGCCGGCTATCAAGGACCCGGGAGAGCGCAGTTCAAATCGTACACTTGGTGTTTCTTGGTCGCGAGCAGCTGGTCGTCCCAAAACGATGTCTCAGGGACATCACGTCTTGTTCACAAGGTTGTGCGCAGAACACATTGCCAAGGAACCCATGACGTCGAGGAATGTCCTCGGTCTATAGGCAGCAATAAATACGGACCAAGGTCGCGGCAATCGGAACACGACTTACTCGGTTGTGTGAAGAAGATACCCTTTCCCGCGAGGTGCGCGTGAAAAAAATCAATGTCAAGGAATCTTATATCAAACAGAATCAAAACCTGAGAAAATCTATCCATACGTTACATGAAATCCTCCTCCAGCTCTCTCGCAGTTTTCTTGCTGGCCCCGCTTCCCTCGCCATATTCTTCCGGATCTACACTGAACAGAGAGTCGTAAGATCGTGCGGCTTTCTCGGCCTCCCGAGTGCGCGCAAGCTCCATGTCCGCTTTTTTCTGGGGCCGAGGCAAGTCAGAGACACTCTGCGTGTCCGGGATGGCTAAGCTAGCCTACCTTCTCGGCGGCGGCGGCGCGACGCACAGCCGCCTCGCGCTTTTGGCGGTCGACCCGCTCCTGTTCGTGGTCTACAACACGTTCGTTCTTGGTCTTGTTCAGACGGTTCACGATGGCATTTTCGCGTTGCAGGACATGTACTGTGCTGATTAATGAATGGGAATCCGCTTGTTCCGCTAATCGTCATACCTCGTTTAACCTGCAAAGAGTTTAATTACCATAAAGATCCAATGAGATGGCGAACCTTCTTGTCACTGTGGAAGGAGACTTGCCCGACCGCCATGTCTCCCGTTTTCTAACGCAGAAATTTGAACCGGATTAACCACTGAATCAAGCAGCGAACAAACAAACCTTCAGGTTGTCTGCAGGCGTGTATATAATCGTGAGATTGTCCTTCTTGTTACCTACCATCACACTTGAGACATATGTATCAGCGATACAGGCAAGGACGGAGCACCCTCGATCGAGTTGGCTTTGACCAGTTGAGCGCAGTCCTTCAGCAGGGCTTCAGGGATTGCGTCCCAAGTCATGGACCCGTCTTCCGGAAGGCGCACGTAGACGTGCGCAGAGGAGAGTTTGTCGACATGAAACCACACATCCCCGGGATACGCATATTTTATCAAGTCCTCATCTAGAGCCTCGATTAGCCGTTAATCCAAAAAATAAATATAGGCAGGAAAGAGAGACTGATCCTTCCGCAAGTGAAAAAAGAAGACGGTAGCAGCAGGGGACAGAGCTAATATGATCTTTCCAGACTTCATGAATCCGGAAGCCCGGCGACTGAAAACGGAGCCAGTGTTCGATGAATACCTACTCTCAACCTTATCGCGGCCCATATACAAGGTTATGGGGGGGTTTACGACTGGATCAAGTCAGTTATTGCATAACCCGAGAAGTAAGCAGCTTGCCCGTTGAAGTGAAAAAACAGGACCATGGTGGCAAGCGACAAGAAGCAGCACGTGCAACAGCCTCCCCATCGATGTCAGAAACACAACACACGCAAACAGGTGTATCTTGCTCTGATCCACTATGGCAGCAAAGTACGTTCGTTGGTTCGACTTGCACAAAACGCTGTCTGAATTTTTAGCTCAGGAATCTGGCGACGTGTCTATTCTGTAAAATCATCAAAGGCGCGTCCCTAAATTCAAGTGTCAGCTTCGTTCTCAATCGGTGACTCACCTTGTAGGCGAAATACCGAGTTTCAAGCTCATCGAAACCGAGTTATCGTGAGGAACTGATCACAACGCATGGTTCTCCTCTGAAAAGTCTGCCTCAGCTTCTCGTTTTTGGACATCGGCCCGTTGTCAAAGGGCCATGCTCTGGTGATGCTTGCTTTGCAGGCATTTTTCCGTGTCTAATTGTATCTCTGCTCGATGAAGGTGATCCCAAAACGTCAGTTGAATTTCTCACCCACCTGCATCTGGCTTATTCTGCGTCTTTCAGACCACGCGGAGAAGCTGCACCAGCTTCCAGATGAGTATTTGGCAGACGCTCTGCCGATCGCGAAGAAGATCGCCATCGCGCAGGGTGTAGAGAACTACAACGTCCTGCAGAACAATGGGCGTCTCGCGCATCAGGTATGTCCGATTCGACCCCCTCAGTATTTCCAATTCAATCCATTTCGTGACGGCAGGAGGTCGACCACGTTCACTTTCACATTATCCCGAAACCCTCCGCAGAAGAGGGCCTTATTGTCGGATGGCCTGCGAAGCCCTTGGGCAAAGAAGAAATGCAGGCCGTGTACGAGGAGATAAAGGGAAAGCTGTAAAGGGAATGGTCAGTGTCGTTATTTCTGCAATAGAAATGATGTGCTTGGCGAGGTCCGAGGAAACGTTCACGAAAAGTGAATTCGCATCCGCGGTGATTATGCTATTTTTTGGAGGCGGTGACTCGGAAGTTCAGCCAAGCGGTCAGATGAAGAGACGGCTCAGCGAGATACTCAGATACTTACGGTCTGTTTGCGCCGAGACACGCATAATCCTTCAACCGCAGGTATCGTTCACCCTGGGAGACTGATATGACCACTGGGGACCGGGCATGTCTCCGTAGTTGCCCCACCAGCTAAAAACACACATTTATTCTGAATCAAAGTTCAAGGACATTAACATCGGAGAGACGCCAGCTGGACTTCAAGATGCTCAGCAACATTGTGCCAAAGTTCCCAAGTTCACAATGATTTGGTTCTTTGCTGTTTAATGTCAATCACTATCGAGGAGCGAGTTCAAAAAACATTGAAGCCTGTCTGCGAGACTAGGCGATCGTAAGATAGATGGAATGTTGCAAGCGTAAAAACCGCGGATTGTTTTTCTATTCCAGTCCGGGGAGTCGAACCCCGGGCTAGTGCGGTCGACGTTTCCTCTCGAACCCCGGGCTAGTGCGGTCGACATTTCCTCTTTTCTGAAAGGCACCGATGTTACCGGTACACCATACTGGACACGAAGGTATGGCGAGCGAGGGATGAGACCGATGGTTCAAAATTTCAAGTGCCTGAAATGAAATCCTTCATCAAACTGATCGCATCACTAACGTAACGCACGGACCACGGTGTATCGCGCGACGCGTCTTGTCTTCTTCCTTTTGAAGCCTCTATTCCACACTTTACTCCCTCTATTTGGCGGTGGGGAGGATCGGTGAACGACGCGAGCCCTAGAGGGGTCCATCCCGATGCGGGGCAGGCTCACCAGCATCAACACAGTACACTTTTAACTGTCGGAAGATCCTGCCCGTCATACCTCCAACTTTCCAATGCATGGCCATTGGCGTCTTCCAAGTACCTGTACACGTGTTTTGGCTCCGGTGTTTCTGCCAGAGTCCGAAATGTACCGCGCAGCTCGCGTTTCGTCTTTCCTCCGAATACGCCCGTCGTTGACGTTATGAAGCCGCAATATTGTCCGAGGTTGACACGATAGGCTTCTACATATGTGACCGTAGTGGTCCGCTGGCTTGGTTTGGCTTGCGAGCCCCGGCTTTGGCTTGCAAGCCACCAGCTTTGGCCTAAGATTCTCGAAGCCAAAGCCCCAGCTACAGCTTGGCTCGGCCCGGCCACGGCTTCAATTGATTCTTTTACCCGCACTGTGGAGTATGTTGAACCACGAAAAACACTTGGAATTGCTCCTGAGTGTTCACAGAAGTCCTCATCCAATTTTGGGCGGCCTGTATGTGTTTAGACTGGAAACTGAACCCGATTCAACATCCCATCAAATTTTCGAAATTGCTCGTTCTGGTCTCGAAGTTGAGGATCCACGGGCCAAAGTTTATTGGACACCATTGTGAGTCGCACTTTCACGAAAAAATGCATACCACTGATTCTGATTTTCCATACCAGAGGTGATTATTTTGTGCGGTAGTCAAGCCGCGGCTCAACCCACAGCTTGTGGCTTACCAACCCTCAAACCAAAGCCAAAGCCGTTTCAAAGCTGAGATGCATGGCTTGGCCTGGCTTGACAAGCTGCGGTTCTGGCTTGACTGCTTGACGGCTTCCAGCCAAGCCAGTGGACCACTACTGATATGTCTGCCCGAAACGGCGAAACCGCTTCTGCGTATCACGGTTGACGGTGAGGCGATACCCCCCCTTGCGCTGGACAACAGCTCCGAGTCCTCATGGACCTGAACTCTTTCATGGAGTCGCGGACGGAAGCAATAGCACACTGCAGCCGGATACATTGAACCACCGCTCGGGCCCGGATGCAATTGTGTTCTGGCGCGCATACATCAACCTTTCGATTTCGGCGAGGCCTGGTTCCAGAAATTGCTCGCCATCCTGGACATCGGGAGTGTTTCTGTTGAATCTGAAGTGAGTTACCAGAAGATCACAATTACTCACCGCAATTAATCAAACAATCTCCACAGAAGCTTCCGAAGAACGCTGGGATGTAACATGTTATCGCGCCTGGAACATCCATGTCGGCGGCAGGAATTTCTTCTGGCGCTGGAAATAACCATCCACCAACCACAGATATTATCATGAGCTTCGTTTGCGAACGACGCAAGTGTGGTTCGTGTTTCGGCGCCCTATAGTTGAAGATGTCTGTCATATTCTTTCGAGGCATATCGCAGTACTGTGCTAGTGCGAGAGTTGCGGTCTGGTTCAACGTTGTGGCCCGAGAGTCGTAAGGTTCTATTTCGGCTCTTGGCTAGATTTGTGGTGCGTCTGTTGGTTTATTTCCTGCGCAAGACGTTTCTCCATTTACGGACTCAGGCGATTCAGGCCCTCCGTCTACACGGGGCGGTAAGTCAAAACGTTGCATGTGGCTACAATGTTAACTAAAATTGACTGAGCCGGCCCAGCGCCGACTACCGACGGACTCGGATAGGGTTTAAAATTTTGCGCGAGAAGAGGAATGCCGTGCATCTATCTTTGTTTCAGAAACTCTGATTGCGATTCGACATAATTTCTGTCTCACGGCTTTCCAATTTAGTGTCAAGCACCGTAGGCCTAGACCAAGGAAATGCAATCAAGCTTTCTGTGGCGACGGTAAAATAGTCTGCGTATGCGTGTCTGGATGGCCAACCGTTAACGCCGTGGCCGTGGTCATCTGGATATAGGGTATCCATCAACAGCGAGAACTCTCCCGACAGCACAGGTGAGACAAATCCCACCGCCTCAAATAGAATTAACACTTATGTAGGTGAATGGGAAGCCCCACCGGCGAATTCGAAGTCACTGAGGATGCCATGTACATGCGAGACGAAGGCCAGCCGATAATCTGGCGTCGGACTCGAATACTTCCGTTTTCGTCTTGTTTTCGACCCGCGCCCTAATCCCGATTCTGCAGAACTATCCACCAGTGGGGCCAGGGGGGACAGATGCGGTTCCACCGTGAGTTCGCCCTACATGTCTCCAGTATGTGATCTTGGTCTGTATTAAAGCCATGACATGAGCGGGGTTGACTGGGTACACCGCCGTCTGACGGTGTGCTATTGTGCAGGAAAACGTTACCAGTTTCTTTTCAGAAAGATTGCTCGGTGACCGCATGCATTTACGTTTGAGCCATCGGTTTGATTCGGGGAGCCGGACGCAGGTGCCCACGCAGCTGCTGGGTGGTATCACGCGTTTTCATTTCCGGTGACTCCTCATTGACAATGCCTCTGATACTATGCTTTCTCACTGCATTGGCGGCTGATTACTTGAAGGTTTGGTGTCCAGGTTCAGCGTTCGCGCCCAAATCTGAATTTCCAAGGTACCCAGCTCTGGAAGATGGCATATTAAATTTAATGAAAGCTGTGAGTATCTCATCATCTCACTGTCCTTGATTGACTTGCCGCCCGCATTACTTCATGTCGACGAATCGACTGTCAATTTTTTTCCATCGCCAACAGCTGAACACAATTTCCATACGCCCTTGCAGCTATATACCCTCCCTCGTCCGCTTTCCTCCACACCGTGGCATTACTTGCCTAATTACGTGTGCTTGGTGCCACGTGACCGCATACAAGGCGGGCCGCCAATGTCCGATAGACGAAACGCTATTCTGGGTTTTGAATTTCTACGTGGCAACTGCTCTGCGCGTCGTGCAAGCCTCCAGGCGGCGATAATTTATACTAGAATCGGCGCTGGGCGTGCATCTGGCTAGAATGTTCCCGCTTTTGCCACAGGCTCTTGTTGCGCTCATCCTGGCATCACCTGCTCTGGCGGCTCCATTTTCATTCAATGACCCCTTCAAGGCACTCACAGCTCGTGTAGTGAAGCCACCAGAGCCCCCAGTATGCTGTCTCACGCCTTTGCCGTCCACGGAGCCGGTCCAGGACGATGTGTTGCTCTCATTCGAGGAGTGGAAAGAAAAACGCTTCGCAATGCAGACTCCCGTACAGGACAAGACAAAGGACAAAGACCCCGGGGATCGGGCAGTGGAGGGTGGTGAGGCCACCACACCAGCCACGGAAATTCCCAGCTCGCCGGTTGCACCGGATATTCAGGACGCCTCGCCCCCGCACTTCCGCGTCCCAGTCACAGATCGCTTCAACTATGCGAGTCTCGACTGCTCCGCGCGCGTGCACACTTCACACCGCTCTGCCAAATCCCCGGCGTCGATCCTCTCGTCGAAGCGCGATAGGTACATGCTCAGTCCGTGCCGTCCGCCGAAAGGCGAGCGGGAGCAGCAGTACATCGTCGTCGAGCTGTGCGAGGACATCCGCATCGACACCGTGCAGCTCGCCAACTTCGAGTTCTTCAGTGGCGTGTTCAAGGACTTTACCGTCAGCGTGTCAAAGACATACACCACCGATCCCGAGGGCTGGACGTTTGCGAGCACACATACCGCGAAGAATATTCGTGTCGTGCAGGTGTGCCACTTTTTTCCAATTTAATTTATCTTTTTCCTGCCAAGTACTGATTGTGTCAATAACAAGTCGTTCCACCCCCCGCCCTCGCTGCGCGACTTCTACCGCTATATCCGCATCGACTTCCACTCGCACTACAGCAACGAGTATTACTGCCCCATATCGCTCCTGCGCGTGTACGGCTTGACGCATCTGGAGGAGTACAAGTGGGAGATGTGGGAGCAGGAGAGCCGCGCACGGACACAGCATTTGGCCGGAATCCCGTCCCCGCCCCTCGAAGAGCCCGAGCCCGAGCCCGCGCCTATCCCCGACCCCGTTCGCATCCCCGCTTCATATGCAGAGTTCATGGACGCCGCGTCGACCGAGCTGGAGAAGGCGCAGGTGCAGGAGGAGATAAGCACCGCTTCGGGGAGGCGGACAGAGCAGGCGGTATCATCGCAAAATGAATCGAATGCAAGCACTGGCCGTCCGTCGCAGCATGATGCACGCACTACTGGGCCAGCGGACCCACCCCTCGCACCCGCGCCCGCAACAGCGACATCTGAGCTGGGCGAGTCCCCTGACATACCGCAATCCCAGCAGAACTTGTCGACGACGACACCAACCACGACAACGCCCGACCAGCCGGCGACGAAGAATGACGCAGCTTCATCTGCCGATACGAAAGCGCCCCAACACGCACCTACCTCGACTCACACGGTGGAGAGCGAGAGCGGCGGCCCAAACGGGAGCGACCCCACTCCGAAGGCAGCTTCTGCGCCTGCCAGTGACGCCCCCGCTGCCGCTGTCAGTAGCGTGACGACAAGCACGACCCAAACGACAGTGTCCAGCGGGAGCACCGTCTCCGCACTGTCGACGACGTCGCTCGTCCCCGCCCCGGCGGGCGGCGAGTCGATCTACCGCACGATCATGAACCGGCTGACGGCGCTCGAAGCGAACCATACGCTGTATGCGCGCTATGTCGAGGAGCACACGGGTGCGGTAAGGGAGATGTTACGCCGCGTGGGGGAGGATTTAGGACGGGCGGAGGGGGTGGTGAGTCGCCTTTTTACTTCCTACTTCTGCTTCTACTTCCCAATTCCATTTCCATCTATTGTATCTACTTTACTTTACTTCCCATTTCTATCTGCTCTACTCTACTCTCGTTTGTATGCA